TACGTGTGGCTAGTATGTACTCTCTAATGTAGGGGGTTCCCTAGAGAACTCCTTGCTATATATACTTGAATAAAAATTCCAGCTCCCAAGAGGGTAGACGTTAAAAAAAAAAAATAAAATAAACACCTAATTTAGCAATGTCCTTAAAATATAAAACTTATTTGTAAAAAATGGCACTGCTAAGACAAAAAAAAAAAAAAATAAAAATTATCATACACAAACTTGTACAATAAAAGAAAAAAAAAAAACTTAAATAACTTACTTATATATAATCTGCCTTTTTTTTTGTTCAAAAAATGCTCAAGAGAACAACCTTTACTGATGCACAAAAATATGAATTTTGTGTTTATGCTCATAATAATAAACAAATTTGGTCTCATTATGTTGATTAGATTGAGAACAAATAGGGTCTTAGAGTTGATGAAAGCACAATTTTGCGTATTTTGAAAACAGCTGAAGAACGACTTGACAATAATAACATTAATTCTAATACAAAACATCACAAAACTATTACCTATCCAGAACTTGATCTTGCTCTTAAAGAGTTCATGTTGATTTATTAGCATTGAACAGTTTTAACTGATGCTTTACTTGTTGAAAAAGCGAAAATACTTGCTGATGGTTTAGGAATTCCTCAAGGTGTGCTAAATTTTTTCTCCAGCTGGCTTTATAAGTTCAAAAATCAAAATGGCATTCATCCAAGAAGAAGCCACATCTGCTGATGTAGTGGCAATTAATAGCATTATGCCGTCAATAAAAAATAAATACTCAAATTACCCTCCTGAAAGAATTTACAACATAGATGAAACTGGACTTTTCTATCAGTATAAACTATTAGTAAATAAAGATTAACTAACGCCATATGGTGTCCATTAGAATGGGTTTTAAAACAAAAAATAAAATAAAATAAAACTATAAAAAAAAAATAATAATAAAAAATAAATAAAAAATAAAAAATTTACTATATAGCCACGAAATAATATCTCATGTGTTATTTCACGGCTATATAATAAGTAGATTTTAAATTTCTTTTTATCTAACCTATATCTTTATTTCAACCTCTACATTAACCAAATTAACTTAAATTCTGTTTCTTTTTTAAGCTATTACTTTAGGTTAAAACCTGATCATACATTGGTAACTCAACGTCTTTCTGAATGTAAACAAACAAAGAGCGCCTCTCAATTGCATTGTGTACAAACGCTAATAGTTCTCATAAATTGAATTCTCTTATAATTAGAAAATATAAAAAACTGCGCTGCTTTAAAAACATCAATGTTAGTAATTTGCTAATGATATATAGAAATAGTACTAAAGTCTAGATGATCATATTTCTTTTCCAAGAATAGATTCTTGAATTTAATCGCCAAATCGGTTTGAAGTATCGGGGCCAATGTGTGCTTTTACTCCTCGATAACTGTTCTAGCCATGATATTAGTGGTGTTATTCTCAGATTTACTGATATTTTATTTTTGCCTCCAAATACAAATTCGAGGATTCAGCTCATAGATGCTAGTATTATTATAAATTTCAAGAGAAACTATCATCGTCTTCATATTCAGTAAGTTTTTGGCTTTTTTAAAAAAAATAACTAAAAAAAAATAAAATAAATGAATATTCGAAAGGGAAAATCAGTAGATAAAAATTTATCCCTGCAGGGGATAAATTTTTATTTATTGATTTTCCTTTTCAAGCACTCAATTTCATAAAAAAATTAGATTAGATATTACACTAATTAAATTTTTTTAAATTGGATGTTACAAAGAGTTGAAGATGGACAGCGTGCAGAAGATTTAAAAATGAATATGTTACATGCAATCTATTTTATTATTCAAAGGTGGGACAAAGTTAAGGCCAATACAATTCAAAATTGCTGGTATCACACAAAGATCCTTTCCGTAGATAACAATTCTGGTTTAGGTCCTTTAGAAGATTTTTGCCAAACTACAGATTCTGTCCTTAATGATATTGCCAATACATTTGAAGCCCTTGGACTTCCCAATTCTATGAATGTTAAAGAGTTTCTGGCAATTTCCGAAGAAAATATCATTTATGAAGTTTTTCCTGATAATCAAATGATTACAGAGCTTGTTGAAACTTTCAGAATGAATAACCCAACTGACACAGACTTGAAAGATGCTAATGATAGTCTTGAAATCTCTATTGTTAGTGCTAACATAGCAACCGTGAGTTTGAAAACTGTGCTTATGTTTTTGCTTTAGCAGGATAATGCAGAAACATATATTAATCTTATAGGAAGAATTGAAAAATTTATCAAAAAGACAAAGGTTGGTCACATGTGACAAAGTAAAATTAATTAATTTTTTATAAGAAAAAATTAAATCATTTTAAATGTCTTTGTCAATATGTTAATAAACATCAAGAATTTTTTTGCTTATAGAAAAAAATCTTTATAAATTTTTTTTTGTACTTGTAATATTAAATTTTTTTTTTTTCATTTGGATGATTATTCATATGTATTCATATATATATACATAGTGTCCATGATTGACTCTAATTTATCGACATCGATCTAGCTAGTTAAGTCAAAGTCGATCATTCTGATTAAAATCTCAAGTATGTGATTTTAAATAAATATGATTTGGTTAACATTAATTATGACACAACTAAGCAAAGTTGATCTCCTTTAGTATATCTTCTGAATTCTTTTGTTAATACACTATTCTAAAGTTTAATTTCCTAAGTCAATTCTTCAAAAAATTGGCTAACTTAATTGGTTAAGTCGATTTTATTGGCTAAATGCTAAATCGACTACAATTACTATGTACTATATATATGTGAGATATTAAATTGATCTAATCTAACCATAATTAGAATATTTCTATAATGGCAAGTGCAGATTTCAGTTTATAAACTGATACCGGATCATTAGATTTTAATATTCCAACTTAATATATCATTGTCTGTTATTTATATTTGAAGCTGGAACAGAGATAATAGTACCGTTTTTGTACGCAAGAAATGCAATTCTTCAATGTATATAAGTTTGCGACGTAGATTTTTTAAACTACAAATCTCAAAATTGCTCTTCAAAAATCTGCATAAGAAATCTTTTAATGTTAAATAAAAGTTTTTGCCAGGCAATTTCACTTTATAATCTACTTCTCTCTAATCTAACCCTGACCCTAACTCTGATATAAATAAACTTTAAAGAATATTTGCTACATTACAAACCTGCTTATATTGAAGAATTGTACACGAAATAAAATTTTAAAATTTATATGAGGTCATCTTGCACCCTGCACAGATTATATATGTGTGCGTGCTAATACGGGTTGTAAAAAAATCTGTTATTTTTATTGGCTAGCTTTGAAATTAGTCACGTGTATGCATTTAGAGGGGTGCATATACATGCTTAGACTCTGGAAACTTGTGTACGTGCAGAATATGGAGGGTATCTAGGTCCCAAGTTTGGGACCAGATTGTAGTATGCATATAGAGAGGATGTGCATTTAGAAAGTATACACTTAGGAGAATACAACTATATACCAAAAAATAATATTCTTATTAAAACATATAAAAAATTTTTTTATAAGTTTTTAAATTTTAATCTAATTAGATTATAAAAACTAATTAATTAATTTTATATAATCTTAATTAAAATTAATAAAATTATATTTTTTTTTAAAATTAACTAATTTTATTAATAAAATTTAAAATTTAGTTATTTTAATTCCAATTAAAATTAAATCTATATAAGGACTCCTATTATATAATTTGTAAAAAAAATAAAAAGAAAGATTAAAATTATCTGACAAAATATGAGAAATACAAAAAAAAGAATAAAGTAGAACAAATTATATTAAACCTAACCTAAGTAGTCTTCTTAAAAATCAAGAAATTAGTTTAATAAAGTCTAGCTTAAAATCTTATTCTGAAAATTATTAAAAGAAAAAAAAAACAGAACAAGAATTAATATTCTTAAAGGCCTGATTTAGAAAAAGATTTTTAGAAAAATCTTTAATTTTATAAAACCTCTTAAAGAAACAAAGAACTACTTGAAAACTATAGTAAACTTGATGTGAAATTACTTTTATAAAAATATATAAAAACAAAGATATATAGCTATTAACAAATAGAAAGGAAAGAAAGTATAAATACTAAATAAAAAAGAAGAAATAAGCTAAAGCCAGAAAGTTCAAATACTAATACAAAGCAGACAAACATGATTATAGAAGAGGTTTCTGAAAACTAAAACCAAACTAAGAGTAAAATTAAGAAAAAAAAAGAAGTAGAAAAAAGCAAAAAGGAAAAAAAAAAGAAAAAAAGAATACTTAATTTGAGTTAGTTAAAAATTTTATATATTATAAATAAAATGAAACTATTTTGATATAGTTTTGCTAGCTAGCTTGGTGCAGCTCTCTAGTGTAAACAAATACTTTAACCGATATGATAGACCACTCTTGAGTACCTTTAAAGATAGCTAAGAGATATTGGATCTATAGTTTAGATAATTAAATATATGTATATATGCTTTGATTTAATAAAGATACCGGTAAGATTGCCAATAAATAGAAAAAAAATTTTGGTCAAAATTATTTAAAATCATTATAATTCTAACAAAATTATAAAAAATATTTGTTAAATATTAATTTATATTCTAATAATCATATAACATATATTTAAACTTTGGCTATTTATATTAATAACCTGTTAGTTTAAAGATTTCTATATTATAAAACTATTGTTAAAAATAATGCTAAAATTGGCTGAAGCTAAAAATTTTAAAATCTTGATTTAAATCTATAAAATCTACTAAAATCTACTTATACTTGTTTATTATAAATTCTACCTATAAAGCTAACCCCAACTTTAAAAAAAATATACAAAAATTTTTAAATTTTCATAATAAAATTTTTAGCTTCAGCCAATTTCAGCTTTAGCTACCACAACTATTATAACAAAAAATTATAAAATAATAAAGTTCTTAAAATATATTATTAGAAATACAGTATATTTAAATACTTATATTTTAGCTACTTATCAAATTTATAAGTTATTAGCTAAATATTTAGACCCGTGGGTAGTTCTGAGAGTACCCGCAACTTTAGGCCGGGCAAAGGGTATTACATTCCAAGCTCTATGGTAGGGATTGGCCTTACACAGATGGATAGGGTTAGGGTTACGTGACTACCCGGCTCTACCCGGCACTTGTGAAAGCCTAACGCTAATATATATATCACGCTCATAAAGTTAACACCCGCCTGAAAGTTATTACTTCGGGCGCTTGGAGTTACATTTGATTAAATTAGATCTCTTTGCACGCATTAGCGTTACGTAGTAATTTTAGACAAAAAAAAATAAAGCAGAAAAAAAAAAAAGAAAAAAAAAAGTAAAGAAAAAAAAATAAAGATGTAATTACGGGCAGGTGCTAACTTAAGCCACAACATAAAAGGTATAAAAATAAAAAAGGTTAAACTTATTTACGGTACTAAGTTATTTATAGAAAGTTGGAAATCATATCGATAACAATACGCACGTCGTACGACGTACGTATTTTTACGAGTCATAGGGGATGCCAAAAAGGGTATAGCCCATGACAAGGAAGAGAGTTTGGAACCGGGTTTATTTTTCTTATATTAAGTCCGGTTTTAATCGGTTTTGCCATTAGAAAAATAAAACCGGTTCCAAACTCTGGCAAGGAATTTTATTAGAACGCAAGTGATTACAAGATAAACCTTGTTCACGTTATATCTAATTCTGTGCCTGATTGGTTTTAAATCAGATTTCAGTTAAACGTTTGTACATAAGAATGTTGTGGTAAGTTATTTTAATTTAAATATATTTATATTGAATTTAATTATTTGTACGTAATATACATAAGTTTGTTTTAATATAAATACATATATTACAAATTTTGTACGTAGCAAGACTATTTAATAAGAAATTATATCGATATTTATTAAGTATTAGTATTAATATAGTGCCTACTTAATGTACTTAAACACTTTGTTTAAAAAAAGTCAGGTTTAACAAAAAAGGAATACATATACGTATAAAGATTCAATACTTTTTTTAGCACAAGATGTCATACGTAGATTAATATTTTTAGGAAAAATTTTCTATTTTAAAATTACATATCGATATGCATTAATAAAATAAAAATTATATAATTATATTTTCACCAGGTATTAAAATCATCCGATAAACTATAGTGATATTCTTGAGTGATATTCACAGTCACACGGGTTAAAATAGAATTTCACTATGTAAAACTTATTTTAGATCAAATTAGTTGTATCAATTTTAATATTTTAATTAAAGTTAATATTTTAAAGTATAATTAAAATATATATTTATATATTTAATGTATATATGAAATATTATATCAATATGTTTGAGCATAAATCTATATTATTTAGGGTAAATTTAAAATCATCGGGTGAAATTTCCAACATGTATGTACGTGCGTACGTACGTACTTGCGACTTCTCACATGTATGTACGTACATACATACACATATAATTACACATACACAGCATTAGCAATTATTAGTAATATGTATTTGTTACATATTGAAGGTAGACGGATAAACGTGCTCCAGATAAAACCATTTACTACCCCCAAGTTTATTAATTTGGAGGATATTGATTACAATAGGTATACTAAAGACTGAAAATAAACATTTCGGTTTAAAAATAGTTAAAATATGTAAATACGTTTTGTTTATAATTTGAAAATGGCAATAAATTGCCTAACATTTTACACAAAAATAATATAATACATGACATTCTTAAAAGTTTTAAAATTCAAATTACACAATATACTATTTGGTGATTACTATTCTTGTTCCTGCCAAGAAAAAATAATCCATAAACTGACTAATAATAATTGAACTTTCTTTACTATGTAAAAAAATAAGAACCTGAATCATGTGTTCTTTAAACTGTGGTGGTTATTCAACTCTTAGTAACTTGTTCTTGATTCATCCCAGGTGAATGTACATTCATTGGAGGTAAGGAATGAATCGGTGATCGAGACATTGGAGAAGGATCAATCGGTGAAGTTTGTTGCTGTGATTGATGACGTTGATGCTGGTGCTGTTGCTTCTGTTGATCACGATTATAATGATGGTGGTGGTGATTTGATGTCGAGTTGTGCTGAAGTGAAGGTGTACTAGAGCTTCTAGGTTTAAGAACCGTCATATACTTTTTTGCCGGGTTTTCCTGGTTCCTTTGCACCTTCTGTCTGAGTGCTTCCATAACGTATTCATGATCAACTTCTGATTCTGAAGAAGGTTTGGATCGTTTACCACCTGTGGTAGGACTTTGCGAGTAATTATTTGTTTGAGATGATGCCGAAGGTGGATGTTCTTGAACACTGCTTGTAGGAGTGGAGAACGGATGCGGATTATGCATCGTAGTTGGTGACGCCGTTATAATTGGGAACGACGGAATGGATAATGTCAATGAAGGTCTTTGACTCAATGGATTATAAGAATGGTTATGTGAAGATATCCCATTGTGATTATAAGATACATTATCATTTCCATGACTAGATGATGATGGCGGTGATAAGCGTGTCGCGCTTGTTGGAGTAGTGGCAGTGGCAGGAAAATGTGTATCTAGAAAGAATGAAATGCGTGAGGAAAGAAAAAATGAATGAAATGCATATATATGAGGCATATATATGAGGAAAGAACGAAATACATAAGAAAAAAGATATACAAACCGTTTGGCGGTGGTATCGGAAGGTACGGGCTACTGATATCTGAAGGCGATTTCCTTTTTAGATATAAATAAAAGTTTACATTATTATCCAATTTTCGTGAAAATTCAATTTTTATATATTTCATAAATAATTTTGACATACATGTTAAAATTACTTGATGAATTCATCGCTGATGGAAATATATAATTACATAGGCGCATTAGTTGATTCTCAATAGTTGTATAAGATAGCTAGATAACTAAATAAATTCAGCATACGTGGTACTCCAGTGATAATAGTCGGTGGTTTCTTTTGCTCTTTTAACATCTCTAATTCCACTTGCTTGCATTGTAAACGTACTGCTTCTGTTTTATACTTTTCTTCTTCTGCACGTCTCTGTTTGAATCAACAAAATAATAAATATCCTTGTGAATTAGTTATTGCGCACTAACAAACTGTTCTGTGTTCTTAATCGTCGGTACTTTATGGCCCTTTTATGACAAATACGGTACGAATCTGTTCCAGTGAAAGAACTGAACAAGGTGTATCTGACACAGTAGAACCAGAATCCGTTGAAAAGGAACAAGTTCGTTTGGTCCGTCAAATCGAATACGTTTATATCTAATAGGTTTATAGCGTTACCTTATCTTCTTCAGCCTTAGCTGCAAGAATTTGTTTCAATAGATCATTATTATCACGATATGTATCTAAAATTTCTCGTAAAGATATATCTGTTCTTGGTGAAGGATTTGTTGCCGGTGAAGGATAAGAATATACTGACTGAGTTCTATGCTCTGACATGATTTTTTTTTATTTTTTATTAAGAAGTTGTATATAAAGTTATTTGTCTTTTCGAAACTAAATAAGTGATGGTGTAAAGTGATTTTTTTCGATTTTATTATTTCTTGCTAGTGTTATTATATACTTTAAATAAGAATTTTTTTTTATACGCATTTCTTGTGTGCAAAAACCAAAAGGTTGTCATTTTTGGTTTTGTACGAATGAGTATTAAATAAGTTAAAAATATATATACGTAGGTTATAAATATATATAGATTTTTATTATTGGAATTGCATAATTACTGATAAAGTTATTTTAGTAAAAAAATCGGTGACACGTAAAATCTTGTATCTGTGTACTAAGTAATCGTGCCGCGTTTATATCTTTTTGGAACTCTTTATCACGTTTCCACTTTAAAAAACATAAAATGCATCTGGCAAAACCAAGTTGGCTCGGGCACTTTGGTGAGAGTCTTTATCTTTTTACTTTTTTAAAATAATTAATCCATTAATTCTGTCGTTTTTCCTTTATCAAAGACGATAAAAGTCAAAGGACTTCAATCTTTTCGGTCCATGTTCACCCTGACGGATCTCGTTTAGCAACTGGAGGTCTCGGTACGTGTTTCGGCCTATGCTATAACTGCTTGTCACCGATCGACTAAACTCACGTTTGGCGATCAACTCTTGCTAAGGTTTTTTTTTATGATAAAAATTTGATCTAAATGCTTTGATCAATTCTGGTAGATAATAAAATAAAATTATGGAGTACTGCCAGCATAATAGACGTAAATAAAGCCAACGATTCTAGTGTACCGCGTTTATTGTGTACTTTAGGTCTTCATAATGGTTCGTATTGCATTCTATTGTTTCTATTGTTTGCTAAGTTTCACGATTAATTAGAGTCTGTGTCTTGAAAATGACTTATGGGACATAGTAATTGCTATGTTCTATAAGGTCATTTCAAGGCAGAAATTCCAATTGTTCTGCATTGTTCTATTATTATTCTATTATTGGTTAAACTCGGGTAATTTATTTAATGCATGTTTTTTTTTTAGGTTCAGTGCTTTGCGTCAGATGGTCAAATAAAGACGGCCGATATTTGGCCTCAGGTTCAGATGATCAACTTGTTCTGATATGGGAATGGGATAGGTAAATTGATCAAATTGATTTAATTAAACAGATTAATGAATGCTCAAATATACAAACTTACCTTCGAATGCGATATATTGAATTAGATCGACTGAAGGGTGGTCGGGAGGAAGCGTGTTTGGAAGTGGTGAACACAACATTGAGAATTGGAAACCAGTAAGGCGACTCTCAGGGCATCAATCGGGTGATTATTGTTATTATTTATTTACATGTCTCGTTATTCTGGTCAATTTGATTTGAAATTAATACAGTTATTGTATGTCAATATTTTTCAGACGTAGTTGACCTTGCTTGGTCGAAAACTAATGCCTATTTGGCATCATGCGGTTTGGATAGCTTGGTATTCATATGGGACGGCAAAACGTTTGGTAAATAATTGTGTTAAATTTACATCTCACATCCCATGTATTCACATATATTCCCATGTATATGCTTATCTTTATGATTTGCGCGTAGAAAAATTGCATAAACTAGATCAGCATATTGGATTTGTTAAAGGTGTCACATGGGATCCTGTGGGCGAATATCTTGCAACTGAGGTATTTCTAAACTGAATTACTGTACTTGAGCATGATTATCGAACATTACTAATAGAATGGATTGGATTGTAGTCTGATGATAAAACTGTTAAAATATGGCGTACCACTGATTGGTCCGTGCAAGCTGAAATCAGCGATCCATATACTAGCTCTCCCACAACTACTTTTTACCGTCGTCTTAGGTAGGTTCGATTATTTTGTTCCTCTTATTAA